ACGAAATACTGTAAATTAAATGCTGAATGGCGGTTCATGCAGGGAAAGAACATATCAATATTCGCATATTCATTCAAAAACATGAAAATTCTTAATGGAGTACCCTCATTTTTTATTGAATTCCTAAAACTAATATTTATAATGAATTTTAATAATTTTTTCGGATTTTTTTGAAGCTTTATTCTGACCGATTCACCCGATTCCGATCCGGATCGCCGATTTGCCGATCCGGATCGCCGATTCGCCGATCCGGATCGGTTTTTGAAAAGCCCGATCCGGGTCACCGATCCGGTTTTTAAACCATTGCTCTATATATATTTAGAGAGAGAGAGAGCAATCGAAACGTTACAGCCGTTGTCCCCCTAGCATGCTTTTGTAGGACAGCATGCTTTTGTAGGCCATGTTTAATACTGCAGGAGACACAAGAGCCAAATGGCTGGTAGGAAATCAAAGAGAACATTTCCTTATGTTATTTGCTATTATAATTATATATATTCCTTGATTTACTCAAATAATGGAGAAGACTTTTGTAGAACACATGTTAAAGTAATGGAGAGAACCTGCCTCGGTTCCAGGCAGTGTGATTTGGCTTGACCAAAAGTTGAGGGCAAATTTTTCTTAAAAATAATTATATTTTGATTAATTTTTGAAAAATTGAGAACAAATAAATGTTATTCTAATAATCTTTCATGGTGCTGGGGTACTTAGGTTAACTGTAAAAAATTATAAATAAAGGATTTAAATATCAGTAAATAATAGAGTATGATACAGCCCCTTAGGTAAGAACAGAACCGTCCATAATAGAACCCAACTTCCTAAATATTATTTTTTATTGTTTAAATAAGGAAAAGAGACAATTTTCATGATGTATATAATGAGCCCCAGAATACTCTACACATGCATTTGATTTATCACACACATGGCATGGCTCATTCACTTCCATCAAACCCCTTTGTGTGTCTCTCTCTCTCCCTTTGTCTCTCTCTACTAAGCTCCACAAAACAGCCACACAAGACCTGCAAGAACAAACCACTTGGAGAATTTTAATCCATTTTGTATCTCTCTCATCCCACCAAAGACTGCATAATTATATATTCAAAACTCCACAAGAGACCATTGGCATATACACTGATAATAAAAATATTTAATCCTTTTTTATTTTTCCTTTCTCTCTTCCCACCCACATACAAGAAAACCATATCAAGACTCATGTAGACCCCCCACTTGCAAACCAATGACACAACATAACCTGCATAACACACCACTCTAATATACTAAAAGACCCAACATAATTGCTCTCCCCCCCTCCCTTTCCCCCCTTTTCTTGGGGTTTATCAATACTGAAACATATCAGCTGAAGCCATGATGGGTTGATTAATGCAAGGAAGTTGCCATGGTTTTAGCAAGGGGTCAGGAATCTGAGGTATGTCCATTACAAGGCCACTGATTTCTTCAATGTAATGGAGAGTATTGGTTAGAGAGTGTAACTTTGCTGTTAAGTCCAGGACCTCAGATCTCAGTGTTAAATTCTCAGATTGAAGCTTCAAATAGTGTTGAGTTGTGATGTTTAGTCTAGAGAGGATCTGGCTATTTTCCTTTCTAAGAAAACCCACTTGTGCTATGAGATCATCAACGTGCTTCTGTTTCCGCTGCCTCGAACGCCTCGCCGATTCTCTGTTCGATCTCATCCTCTTCAATTTTCTTTGATCCATGACATTTTGGAGATCCTCCTCTGAGCCTGAATTTTGCAACAAAGTTGAAGCTGATGCCCCACTTGATGTGGTTGTAGTTGTGGGATTTGAGGCCATCATATCTGGTAGTATTAGAGAAAAAGAGAGCGAGACGAAGAGTGAGAGTTACAGGTAGTACAGTGGAGAAAAGAGGCTAATAGCTTGCTGGGGTCTGGTATGTATATGGAAATTGGGCAGAGGGCCAGGAAGATCAAACTTCTTAGGAAGCTACTTCATGAAAACACATAGAACCAGTAGAGAAAAATTACAGAAAATGATTGAACTTGATGGCCCCTGCGGAGTAAAGCCGAATTGATCATAAACCCCAAAAGCTTTTCACAAGAAGTCAGTAGAGGGAAGGGTTAAAAGAACCATTAAGATTGTCAGAGGGAATGAATGGATAGGTGTTTCCAAGAGAGAGAGGGGAAAGAATAGCCTCAAAATAGAAGATTTTGTACGAAAATACTAAATATGGAAGCAAAATATAAAGAGCCAAATTTAGTAGATTGAAATCAAGATTATAGTCTTGAAACAGTTTTTTACCCAGAAATTGAGGGGATAACAATCAACCACCAAGATATTTCAAGGCTGGAACAAATCTTGAATATAATGAGTTTGCTAAATTTAGCAGATGGATACACTGTAGCTGTCCAGAAAGCTCTAGAGTCTCAAGGCTGGTATATCTATTGATTTAATGGAGAAGATAAGGATGAGCTATAGAATTTCTAGAAGAAGCCTTCATACCCCACAGGGAAATCCCTCATATATCAAGCAAAAGTGCTAAAACATGGTTCCAAATATCATAAAAAAAAGATGGTTAAATATATATATCATCACCAGCTCAAGGTGTTTGCTATACAAAACAGAGCTATATTTAATCAGAGAGAATTGCAAAAAACACAAAATTTCAGTACAGTAACACCCGGAAAATCGAGGATTCAAGGGAGACAAAGATGGTAATCTCCACGAGAACACGGATTTATAGTCTACAAGAGTTGCTAGCAAACCCTCAATTTCCAGTAGAAAAAGTCTGGAAGAAGCGGGAGAAGGTGCAGAGTTTCAGAACCTCACTGGAAAAGAAAGAGAAAGGATTGGAGAGAGAAAGAGGGGAAAGGAAGAGAGAGTTATAATGGAGGGGTAAGAGAGGAAGAAGTGGAAGAGGTTTTCAGGAAGGGAGGGGAGGAGATTTATAGGAGAAAAATAGGGTTTGTGGAAATTAAAAAAGCAAAGTATTATGGAGAAGATGAAAAAATATAAAAAAGAATAAAAGTGGGCGGCATTGGAATCTCCTCCTCAAAAAGGGTTAAGGTTAGGCTTGTTGGGAGGAGTGATGAGGCATGTGGGGTGGACAAAAATGGTGCACAACCCGCCAATAACATCCAGCTGGTAAGCAACAGCAAGGACACAAAGATTTTTTATTACCACATTTAATTGCAATCAAAAGTACACTCTGATGTTATAATTTTTTCATCGAAATATGTAATTTAATCACCTCTCTCCCTCTCAACATCAAAGTACACCGTTTTGTATACTTTCCATATTTTTTCCTCAACAACCCAGACCTTTCTTTCTCTCTCTCTCATTAAAGATTAATCACCTCTCTGTCTCTCTAACATAGGCACGTGTGAGAACACCCCCAATCTCTCTCCCACTCGCGTGCACACACTCTCCCTGTTCACTACGCCACATATATAACCTACACTGATCTCTCTTTTCTCTCTCTCATCTCCAAGGAAGTATAATTTGATCGTTCTTCTCAGCCATTTTCAAACACATTCTTCAACCAGCGATTAGAAGTTAGGGTTATTCTTCAACCCTCTATCCGCATGAATTACAATTTTAGATATAGAAATTATATCAAAGTTAGATAGAGAAACTACGTAAATTTTTTTAGAAAGATAAATATCTCAAAGTCTTTAGAGAGAGAGAGTATCACAAACTTTAAATTTCAAAAAAAGAAAGCAAATTCAAATTTTAGAGATTGAAACTATATCAAGTTTCAAGAGTGAGAAATTACTTGAAAACATTTTAGAGAGAGAAACTATCTCAAATTTAAAGTTCTAGAGAGAGAAAGTATCTTAAACTTATATAGAGAGAGAAACTATATCAAATTTTAGATAGAGAAAATACCTGAAATTTTTTAAAAAAGAAACTTTATCAAATTTTAGAAAAAGTACCTAAAATTTTTTAGAGATGGAAACTATTACAAGATATTTATAAAGAGAAATGATATCAAATCTTCAATATTAGACAAAGAAAGTACTTATAAAATTTTAGAGAGAAAAACTAATGAAATTTTAGAAAGAGGAATTGCCAAAAAGATTTTAGATAGAGCAATATTTCAAATTTTAAGTTTTACAAGAAAGCATATTAATATTTTAGAGATAAAAATTATATCAAAGTTTAGAAAGTGAAATGACCTAAAAACATTTAGAGAGAGAAACTAGCTCAAAATATTTTAGAGAGAAACTATCTCAAATTTCATATTTTAGAAAGAGAGAGAGAGAGAAACTATATCACATTTTAGATAGAGAAAGTACCAAAAAATCTTAGAGAGAGAAACTATCTCAAAACTTCTAGAGAGATAAATTATCTCAAATTTTAAATTTTAACGAGAGAGTATCTACAAATTTTAAAGAGCAAGTATCTCGATCTTTTTGAAGAAAATTTATCTCAAATTTCAAGTTTTAGAGGAAAAATTATCTCAAATTTTAAATTTTAGAGATAAAAAAATATCTAAAAATTTGAGAGAGAGAGAGAGACAATATCATATTTTAGAAAGAGAAACTACCTAAAAAATATTTAGAGAGGAAAACTATCTCAAAATTATTCAAGAGAGACACCATCTTAAATTTTAAGTTCTAAAGAGGTAAAGTATATTAAATTTTTTGAGAGAAACTATATTAAATTTTAGAGAGAGAAAGCACCTAAAGTATTTAGATAGAGATAGTCAAATATTTTTAGAGAGAGAAAAATTCAAAATTTTAACTCTTGAGAGAAAATAAATTTAAATTTTAGAGAGAAACCATATAAAATTTTAGATAGAAAAACTATCTCAAAATTTTTAGAGAGAGATTATCCAAAAATTTGAGTTTTAGAGAGAAAAAATACATTAAAATTTCAGAGAGAGAAACTTTATCAAATTTTGTAACCAAAAATGGACATGAAAATTATTGTAAGGAAAAAAATGAATTTTGTAGTGTACCGCTAAAAAAACACAATGAATTTTGTATTGTATATCCAAACAAGAGATTTGAGGAATCCATGACAAGAATCTTTGATATTGCGAATCCATAATTTTTTTTGGATTTCAAATATCCAAAATTCCTAATTTCCTCCTATCCAAATGGGCCTTAAGGGGATTTTTTTATCTTAAAATTTTTTTATAGTCATCTCATTATCAGATGCACAATTTCAAAAATACAAGAGACTTAATTTTGAGGTTTTAAATGCATCAATCTTAGTATCATATAAACGATTTAGATTTATTGTTGGAATAAGACTCATAATCTTTTTTAGAATTTATTTTTAAGATTGATATTTGGCACACAGAGAATGTTATTCCCAATAATAAAAATTAATAAATAAATAAATAAAATCGATAAACAACTTACTCGGATCTGTCATTAAATCACACGAGGGATTTAAAGTTCCATACTAAATCCTATAGACCAAGGCATGCGGTGACAGGCAACCTTGAGAGTTATCATTGATGAATCTCAATCACCTTCCATCTCTATTTTTCTATACTTTTTTATTTCTTTTCTAGAAAGTTAACCTCTGTTTATAGAGAACACATTATTTTATAACTCTCACATTCATTGTCCATAGGAATTGAGATCCAAGTGTAACTCGTGTCTTAATTCCTTCAATTGCAGTTAATTAGGATTAACAAGTTGTCATAAAACTGTTAATCGTATGTAATGAGCTAAATATGTCATTAGTCCACTAATGACTCACATAATAGAATGTCATCCAGGCATTCTAAAAGATATTTATAAAGTAAACAAATTTTATATATATATAATATAAAAATAAATTAGTACAAAGAATCCAATTCCTAACACACCACTGGGTTTTCCCTCAAATGATATTGGGTTTTCCCTCCAGTGCAACATCCTACTAAAGCTAAAAAATGAATCCAAGTATATGGCATTTTTTCATGCCAACCACATGGGATTTCACATATACGTCAATATGGCATTTGTACCATTGTTAAAGAAAAAAAAAAATCAGGGGAAAAGGGCCTGATAGGCCACATTTCCAATAGAAAACATGTGCAAAAAATTTAAAATTATATAAGTATCCTTAACAAGATCTCTTGAACGAACGGTTTTATTATATTATAATAAAAAACTAGTATTTTAAAACACAACAATTTCCCTTTCAGATCACCAATACAATCGGGAATCACTCGGGATGAAACAAGCATTAGGATGTTATGGGTCTTGGCCCGATTCCCCTTAAAACAACATTATGTAAATTTTTTTTTTTTAATTTATCTAATATTTTTTTAAGTCCCCTCTAAATTTCCATTATATAAACCTTGATTTTAATTTTTGTTTTTCATTTATTTTTAAACATCTTTCTGGATCACTGATTTAAACCAATCCAGACCCGATCGAGATCACTGATCTAGCACTTCAATACGGATCCATACATAAACAATATGCACGGTTGATCTGAGTTTTAAAACACCACAAAAACCATTACATTATTATAAGAAGCCATTGAACCACTCTTGAAAAAGGGGCATATATATTTGCAGGTGAAAATATCTTTACATTCAAGGTTTTAAAAATGACAATCCAGATCGAGAATCATTTGGGCCGACCCTATTCCTATTAAATATCAGGAACATACTAGTTTCCCTCGTGAAACTTTCGGTTCTGTCAAAGAACTAGTTAGAACCAACCCCACCTTTTTTTATTTTTCAATTTTTTTTTTAATTATTAATGACCAATAATAAAAATGAAAGGTAAAACTATGTAAATATCCATTTTAGTTTCCATTATTATAAACATACCTAAAACTTTCTATTATTATATATATATCCTTTTTTTGAACTTCATAACAATTTTTTTTTAAAAAAAGATGACATTACCCATTTTTTGTTTTTACTACAAACCTCTGGGCCTCTAGTTTTTGAGAAGCCAAATTGCTCTCTACAAACCTCTGGGCCTCTAGTTTTTCAGAAGCCAAATTGCTCTCTACAAACCTCTGGGCCCC